AGTCGTCAACGACTTAGTTCTATGATCACTTTCTCAGTGGCTAGGTCATGGAAGCGGGATGAGTCGAGGCTATAATATGTTGACGGTTGGATGCTACCAGAACGTTAAGAATGAGATCATAACTCATGATATTGATTAGTACGAAATGAGAATCAAATAGAAAAGCATCTATTATCTATATAACCGTACTGTTTCCCTCATTTCAATTCCCATAAGCGTTTCAGTAACATTAAACATTTTGGCCACCGTTTTCACCATAACTGTACGAACCACATGACCTTGTCATAAAAAAAAAGATATCAAAACAACCATGTCCATCACCCAACAGAAATATGTACAAAAGAAGCAAAAAAAGTTATTCGACGAATTAGATCTAGGAAGCTTGGCCAGCGGGCACCGGGAAATAAGGACATTTTTATTTATCAGCGAATCTCCTGTCGAAGTAACGTAGAACTCCCATCACACTAGCCGCTTCAACCTCCATCACAGGTCGATCTGCGATATTTAGGTCGCGACGGTGATCGGGAGTCATATCAAGTGGGCTGGGCAGCGTATTCAGCCGGGGAAGCCATGTGCTCAATTCATCAGTTGCATTGGCAAACTTTGGATGTCGAGACAGTGTAGTGAATGTATCAGCACAGCTGAGCGTGATCGATGGGGCAGATGTAGGTGGACGCCGTGGCGGCTCAGATCGACAACAACCGCCGCCCCGGGCATCTTTCCCTCCGCAACATCCACTGTCTGCGCCTGCACTAGGTGTTCGAGACGCAGCAAGACTCTTGCAGAATGCTGTGCTTCGCGGGTCAGAGAGACACTGGGCGCATGTTCCTGGTCCATTGATGCAAGGGTTGGGTTTCTTGATTGAAGCAGATTCGGACAAGACATCTCCTTCTGAAGGTGGGGGTGTAAATTGAGAAAAATTTTTGATCGATGGTAATGTGGTGTCTGATTGTCGACGGCTGTTTTCTTCAGCTTGCTCTGCTGCCATCTCGGCGCAGATGCATGGAGTTCCGTCTTGGCAGAAACCACATGGATCAATCATAGCTACGGGAGAGACCGATTGGGAATGCCTGTGTGACTGTAGGCGGAATGAGAAGCGTGATGTGAAATCTATCTCAAGCTCTTCAGTGTCCGGCTTAATTTCGGGATCAGATCGTTGGCGCTTTGATATGCTCTCCGAAGAAATTAGATTGGGGCGTTTGGACGATACATCTTCGTCTCGGGTTTGTGTATTAGTATTGGGTGTAGAAAATGCATCATCAATGCACTGGCATCGCGTGGGCGAGCAGTTGGAACAGCCAGCAATAACCTTAGGTTGAGGCTTATTCCTTGCATTTTCAGCAGCTCGAAGTTCGTTGATAGCAGTATCTTTGGCAGATTTCTCTATGATGAGTTCATCTTCCAGAGATCTGCATCGGGTTTTCCACCACGATATTTCGTTTGCGTAGTCCTCCAACTGTTTCGCCTGAGATACGATTTGCGCATTGAGCTTTGTTTCAGATCTTTCGTTATCTTCCTCAATCATCTTGAGTTGTTCCTCTAACTCCCCCACTCTTGCAGCTCGTCGTTCACGGAACGCTCGTTGTGCTGCACGGTTCTGGGCTTTGCGTTTTGTTGGAGGTGTATCTGTTGCGGGCTTGCGCCCGGGTTTAGGTCGTGGAGGAATTACCCATTCTCTTGAGGTAAGAGAGCCAGTTGTAAGGGGTACTGAGCAGGGAGCTGCTGCAATTGGCTTGACGAGCAGCGGCGGCGGTTTGCTTGAGATCATTGGAGCAAGTGCAACAGGAGACGAAGCTGTGGATGGCGTCGAAGTTCTCGAAACTGCGGCCATGACGATTGATGGCCGACCAAAGGGGCTATCAACTTACTGCATCTAAGAGTAATAGCCAATGACGTGCAGGGAGTTCACCCCAAATTGGTCTAGGTGCTCTCAGAAGAACCCGAGGACCGGGGAAGCGAAGAGACAAAGTGGGAAGTAACGCTGAGTGTCTCAATATTTAGCCTGGTGGCAAGCAGACAGCGTAAATAGACACGAGCAGAACGTGATGCAGGATGAATGGTGGCTTATGACAGGGAAACGGACTTGATGTAGTTAAAAATTCAGCGCAACTGTTGACCTGGTATTTTCGGATACGGACGGGGGGAGGCCGGATGATCAGATTAGATTATCGTGCGATCAACGGTCACGTGATGCCCAGGATCTCGCTTACTTAAGCTCGCGTGAAGTCTTATCTGATCGCCAAGCCGGCTAGGGGCCTCGGCTGATTGAAGCCGCGAAAAAAGCAGCAAAAACCACGCAAAAACTTAACGCTTGTTTAGCACCGTATTGGGATATTAACGAGGTGAATCGACACTATTCATTTCTTCAATTGGAAGGAGAACGGAAAGTATTCTAAAAACATGTGATTAGCTAGAGAAGATACTATATGTTGTCACCCTTGTTGGTTGAGCGGATGGTCTCAACTCAATTCCCCGCACCGAAAAAGCAATCCTACCAATGACGCTAACCAGCTCTGTAACCGATTTACGGAATGCAGAGCAACTTCTTGCTAGGAATGCGGTCTGAGTCACAATAATATTGAAGATGCATGTGTCAGTCAGATGATGACTCGATCCTAGTACATCGCATAATATCGCCCCCGTGTTTGATAAATATATATATATTGACATATACCCAGGGCCTTTCTGTCTAAATTTTCTTATCCCAAGCTTCTATTTTCTAGTCATATCTACTCCAGACTGCCCTCCAAACCAGATATCAAAATCAGACATGTCTTCCCCAAACGCCTTAGCTGCCAGCACCAAGGTGCTAGATGTCCTCAAGAGGCTTCATGCGGCTTCATCTGCCCAGGAAGGTTCTTTCTCCTTGCTCTCGTTTTGGATTCGCAAATCCATCTCGACTTGGTTTGGCGGTGGCCGTACATGGTCCTCCAAGGACGATGATTTCATGAGAGACAAGTTTATTTCTCTCGAAGCCGACAAGTGTGAATTTATGTATCTTCTGGCACGATCAACTGGAGCTCTAAACATCGTTGAGGCCGGCACCAGTTTCGGAGTTTCTACGATATACCTGGCTCTTGCTGTCGGACAGAATGCCGCAGCAAAGGCATCGGGTGATTCGTTTGTTCCTGGACAGGGCGGAACAGTCCTAGCGACCGAGAACGAGCCGGGGAAGGCAAAGAAGGCCAAGGAGCATTGGAAGGAGGCTGGAAACGAGGTCGAACCGTGGATCAATCTCCTGGAAGGAGACTTGCGTGAAACTCTCCCCGAAGCCGTCGGCAAATTGGATCAGATTGACCTTCTGTTGCTTGATAGTGAGTTATTTCATGCATCCTGTTCCCTTTGTTTTTAAGCAGTCGATAACTGACTTTGACTGTAGTATGGACGCCAATGGCCCTGCCAGCGCTGCAGGCAGTTCAACCAAAGCTTCGACATGGGGCGCTTATTATTGCGGACAATACTGCGACGGCTCGGTTGGCCTACAAAGAGCTATTCGCCTACATCAATGATCCCAAGAACGGCTTCCGGTACATGACTACCCCCTTTAAGGGTGGCTTGGAGGTAATCGTGTACCTGCCTTCGGGGAGATCTTAATCCTGTTATTCTACTACCCTTGTGAGGTAGAATCTTGGGTATAACATCAAAAGTCTTCTTCATTTCTGGCTCGAATCCAAATGTCCTATTGAATCCGATCATTGCAACGTTTAGTATGGGGAGTGGGGGTGACTCAAGGAAGACATATGTTTGTGATTCGGTGGTAATTTTAATATTTGGAGGGTTTGGATAATTGTATGTTATATATTGTACATTCGTGATAGCAATCTCAACCCAGGGAAAATGCCTCAATATTCAAAATGGAAAATGAGAATATGGAAATTGGATCGTGGAAGCTCTATCCTTTTGATGCCCACGAAACTGAAGAGCAAATTCTTCAGATACAGCCTTTTAGCTATTGCTCAAGGCGCGCTTCTGGCGAAGATAATTACGAACGATGTTTTCCACGCTGCCCTTATCGTGCTTTGGATGTCTATGAAAAAATGAAAAAAAAATTATACACGTTAGCACCGGTCTTCGCCTATAAGTCTACCATCGAAAACCAATTGCAGATGAAGTATTTTTTTGCTTACCGCAAGTATGTCAAGTTTGCACGCCTCATCCTCTTCGCTGGTTTCTGGACAATCTCGACTTTCGAGACGTTGGGACTATATATTTTGATCCACATTTCGCAGCTGACACGAGTCAACTTGTTTCGCAACAAAAATGATGTGTCAACCCCTCGTTGTCGGATATTCAAGCATACACCAGCAAACGGATCACCATTCTTAAATGTAACGCGTATGATGTCACCGACTTTGACGCCTTGTCGATTCTTAGGATCGAAGAGTGTTTTCCTCTCCTCGGTCGGATCTAGCACCTTCAATTGGTCGGCGGTGAAGGCTGAAATTGGGTCTTTGCAGGTGCTGGCGCAGGAAGGGAGAGGCGGGAAGATTTTCACTTCTTTGCTAGCTAAAGACAACAACAACGAGCTGAGATCAGCTTGGAACGCTTCTATAGAATGACTCACAGAAAAAACCGGGAAGAATTACCTCTTCCAGGTCGAAGATGCGGAGGTATCTGTGTCATAAATTGCTCTGGAATGTGGAGAGGGAAGGCAGGTCGTCCGGTGTACGCCGATTGACGAGTGTGAAGCCCCCGCCGGTGCGGCCTCTGGTTTCTCAATTCTTTGAGGAGATTAGACCAACAGCCCAATGGCCGTAAGGAATTCTTTAAAGAGGCCATTTATATGTGCTGTGGTTGTGGTGGCTCTGTAGTTTTGCGATCAGTTCAGTTGGTGCTTTGGAGCTTCAAAAAAAACCCGTGGTTGTGCCAAGCCAGGTCTCAATGTACCTTGTACTTCGAAGGTTAGTATCAGCAATTAACTCCTGGTCATTTTTTTTTACTTCAGTTGACTAAAAAAATTATAGAAAATTAGAAAGTAAAATAAAATTAAATTAAATAAAAGGTCGTGCCCGGAATTGAACCGAGATCTCTGGAGTCAGAGGCCAACGTGATTACCATTACACTACACAACCGTTTGGTGGGCTGGTATCTGGTACCCACGCGGTTAAGAATTCGAGACCGTGGTCACGTGCCATCTATCTTCAAGATGCATCAAAAAAAAGAATATTAATGGAGAACGTATAGAACAACCCAGAGCTATTAGGTTCTATTTCTCACAGGCTCCCAAGCAAGGATCAATGGCGCAAAACACATTGGGAAGGACATTGTTTCCAGTCTGCTCGTCAGCTGGATGCCTGGCCATCCAACGAAGAACCTTTTCAAGCACAGTCTCGAAATTAAAACGTACGCTGCAAGTTTCTCTATTTGTCGTTGGTTAGCTCTGGCAGTAGGGCCAATTATTGATTGAAATTTTTCCACAGCTCCTCTTCCCGTCTTTAAGCCTACGGCATCGCCTGAACTCGATGGGCTGTTAGAAAGGTTCCGAAACACCTTATTCATACCGCGGTGGCTGCCCCTCAAGCACAGAAAATTGATCACGAAACAATCGCAGGCAACGAAGCTACAAGAAAACCCAATCACCCTTAAAATCGGCGGCAAATCAGATCAATCATTCACTCTGAAACCAATAAGGCTAGATCAGCTTCCAACCAAGGCCGAGACGGAGAGAGTGGTGGAGTTGATGAAGACCCCCGAGGACTGGCAAAATCTTATTCCTTTCCTTGCTGGGATGCAATTTAGTGGGAGGAAACTCAGCTTGAGACAATGGGAAGCTATCATTCGAAAAGCTGGGCTGAACGGGGGAGAAGAAGCAATCTATAAGGCTGCTGTCGAAAACCACGTAACTGCTCTTTCATTAAAATTCCCGTCCTTAACGCTGCACCTTTTACGCGCAATCCGGCGCAAGGCAGCAGATGCAGATTTCAAGGGCCAACCAGTAGATGATGCTGTCCGACAAGTCGAGGCAGTGGCGCGATTGCTGAACTCGGAGGCTCATACAAATTCCGATCTGGCCTCGGACCCAAAGAGACTACCTGAAGTTATTGGTGCGATGCTGGAGATTCATGCAGCAAAAGCTCTCAACTCATACGGCGGCCAAGATAAAGACGGGAAAGTTCGCGATTTTGCCCAGAAGCTAGTGAGCACATGGCCGCTCGCGAATCTCACCGTGCCAGAACACTGGGCGGCCGCAAATTTCCAGTTATTTTTTGCTATTCCCCTTTGGAATGGAATAAAGTCTGCTTTGCAGGTGCACGAAATACGAGAAGATCCGGAATTGAAGAAGAAGCTTGTTACGCGGATGGCTGAGTTAAGTAAATCCATTGAGCAGTTAATGACCAAGGTTGAGGAGGCCGGCAAGGAGCAAACACCCGCAGGACTCAAGGAAGCACAAAGATATTATCAGAAGTCTGAAACTCAATGATTTCTTTAGTTTTATGTTGAAGGATTAGGCCATGCACGGAGTAATCGGATATATTTGATCCAGATTTTTGTATATTAGACGTTACTTATGTATTCAATCGTCGAGCGACTTAATTTTGCCATCGCCTACTTGAACGAATGTTGGATATTGATCTGAGTTTATTCCTCGTTCAAGTGATCCATTCTTAATTATCATCTGTCCCCCCTGAGTTCCATTTGCTGTCTAAATACCAGACGCAACCGAATCCAGACAAATTGTCAGATTAAGAATGATTAGAAAATAAACGGTAAAAGATTAGGGTTGCCATTTTCAATAAACTTGCACAAATAACGTTTTACGTCAAGAAGGAGATTGTAAGGTCATATTTAATACTAAGGGTCCCAAAATCCGATAGTATGTCATCAAAGCTGAGTGGTCCTAGCGACTAAGAACTAAAGTAAGATCGTCTCTTAGTTCAGCTTGTATTCCGAGCTTGCACTCTTCTGACACTACAGCAGGCCCGGAAACGAGTATCTATACATCGTTTGTTAATTATTGGAATGAACATGAGAGAAGGGAAAGGGGAAAGCAGAACACCCACCTCGCCTTTTACTGCTCTTTCTCCACCCGACTTTTCATCGTGGCCGATTAATTTAATGGACACACTACCCACAGGCGGCCCAAAGTGACTATACCCCGAGTGTCTTCTATAATCATAAGGATTCGATTGGCATATGGCACCAGCCACATTTGGACCAGTAAGGGCATAGACAACTCGAACCCCCGTGAAAACCCTAAGATCGGTGAGTTGAAGGGAAGTAAGTTGGTTTTGACGAGCCCCATCGGCGCGATGCGAAATGAATAGCAGCCTAAGCTTTTGGAACACCTTATTTGTCACGGTGCTCGAGAACATGTTGTGTGATGGCATTCTTCCTGCGTCCAAGGTACGTGTTTGAAGATATCGCCCAAGCTTCGAAAGTGGATTCATCAGTGGGCCCATATTCTGAGCATGATAGTCGGAAATGGTATGAGACGATGTAATTACTACTGTAGGCGAGATACCAGCAGTAGCGAGGTCGAAGTCCACGACTTCCCCAGCAACGGAATTCAAGGCAATGGACGCATTCACATATAAGGCCGCTAGTATTAGGCAGAGCGTGTAGGAATGAGATAGAGTATCAATTGATAAAACCAGGTCTGAAGAGTTCAAGCGTTCCGGATGGGGCAATGAGGAGCCTAGCCCTACAATGCCAGCTACCAAGTTCTATAAAAAGAAGTTAGAATTGTCTCATTTTCGTTAAACAAATATTTGGGGTTTTAGGTAAAATTTTCTTACAGCGGGAGTATATTCGATAAAGCGGCCAGAATCGCCTTTGCCTGACCAGAGCATAGCTATCGAGGGTGTTGGGGTGCTTGGATCCCAAGTGGGTAATTCAGAACTAACTGCATCTTGCCCTTCATTTACTAGTTCGTGCCATACTGCCACATCTATCTTGCTTCCAATCCCTGCAGGGACTTCGTTCCAACCCATATGGCGACTGCCCTGTTTCACAACCCAGATAGCATGCTTTAACGACTTGGTTCTCCGAAGTAGCGATGATACTGCCACGGTACCCGCTTCAGTTATTAAAAGCTGAGCTTTTACTTGTTCGACGTATCCGGCAAGAAGCTCGGTGGAAACTCCTTCCGGTATCATAGCTATCTTGAATCCATAGAAGGCACCAGCTTTGCGCACAGGTCAGCATCATCGGTAGATTAAAAATGGATGCAGAAGAAACAAATTTACCGAATATCAAGGCAAGCAGTTCCACAGAATTAGGAAGACAAACAGCGACAGTGTCGACTTTAATATTATCTCGAATATACTGTCCGACTATGTTGATTTCTTGGGAGATATCGTCTATCTTATGCTCCTGCACTCTGTCTCCAAGCACAGTGCATATAGTACTGCGTTTACCAGCAGGAGACCCATCCTTGTTTAATGTACCACGAACAACAGTTTTCCAGATATCACGAAGGTCTCCCCGCCTTCCATGCGACCATTTGGGCGTGTCTGGATCTCGAACTCCTAGACTGCTCTTAAGTGGGTAACCGGGAGGCACGTCCAAGGCCCTGAGCTCCGCAGATTCGCCAGGCTGCCTTACGGGTGCTTCGGAGGCTTGACGAGCGAGTAAAAAGGGGTGTGTATCCGGGTCTTTGTTGAAAAAAAGAGCGTACCCGATGACGCTTGCAAGGAGGGTAGCGATCAGAGAGGTGTAGATATTCCAGTCCGAGAACAGCTGGTCCAGCATCAAGTCGAGCCGTGCCAACATCGAATCATCTGCTGCCATTGTAAAAGAGTTACTTCATTCGAAACAGTTATCCCGTGTTAAATATCACCGCACCGTCGAGGATATGTGGGAAACACCAGAAAGTCACACGTCGAGTGATTTTGTTGGACAATGATCTGCACATTCATGGTCCAGGTCCGATGCAACCTGGGCGACCTAAACATAGCAATACATCAAGATTACAAACTAATTAGAATCAACAAAGAGCTACCACAATATGTGCTTATGCCGAAAAGAGGAATGGTTCGTATATATAAAGGCCATCGAGGAAATTGCGAGCCTTTTCTGGGGTTAATTCATAGCTCAGGCCATTACTTCGGTGGTGAGCGAATCTCAGCATTACAGTCTGGTACAGTGCGTGTATTAGATGTATTTAATTTCCGGCTCGTTGCTGTGGAAAGGAAAAAAAACACAAAAACATCCCTGAGCTTCGTATCACAACAATCAATAATTGAACAAGCTCACATCGATGGGGAAGTCATGTCATAGATAACCTCCCGGAGATCTTTCAACCACATGGCCCATCAAGAATCCCCTCACAGGTAAGTAACAGAGGTAAGTCAGGTAAGTAGGTTATTTTCATCCAGTCAATAGTGCTGGCTCAATCCGTCGAATCTGCGACCTGATCGTCGCTCATGCCCAACATCCGAAGTCAACAGTGATCTTCCCTCGTCAGTCATATCCTTTTTATTTCCGCTTTCCTCCGCCAGTCTCAATGGCGCTTCCACCTCTCCCATTCACGCCAGGGGCGATAAGCTCGAGGGACTCTTCAATTTCATCCCCTGGTACCTGGCGTCATCCGCGATTGAAGGAGATTGTTCGCCGCCAACATGCCTCCAGATTTAGCAGTAGAAACGTTCAGTTGATAGTGTGGAATGGTGGAACTTTGATCCTTACTAGTTTTATCGGAAAGCTCTTCAAACAATAGTACGTTTGCCGTTATATCATCTTCCAAACCAGGGATATTATCATGCTGACAGGTCGACGTTCAGCTCTCTTGCACTTGGCTCATTCCTGCAAATCTCCACCTACCCCGACGCGACCCTACTCCTAATACGGCTGTTTCTTCTCTGCAACATAGCATATGCACTATATCCTCTATACCGCCCACGAGACGAAGTCTCGGACATCCCATTAACACCGTCCCAAAGAGCTTTGCTCGGCCTTGACCCAAATAACACGCCCCCTGCAACTCCAGGGTCAACGTATATAACTCCACCCAGATACCGTCTGTCAACAGGGTCAAGACGAGCTAGCTCTGGCTCTCCAACCTTTTTAAATAGCAGAGATAGAGAAGTTGCCCGCAACAGGCGACCGTCCGATAGTTCCCAGTTCTCTCCTT